TACACACCCATTGGAACAACTTTCATGAAGAATGTGGCCTCATCCGAGCTATGTAGGTTGCTGAAACAAAGCTTGCAATATGACCTACGAAACTGGGCTGGCAGGGGGCTGTAGCCAAAATGAGTTTGTCTTTAAGCACTTCTTCCCTTTATCCAAATCAGGCTTTAACATGCATGGATTGCATCATTTCCTATCCAAAGCCATCATTGTTACCTAAAGCTGAAAGATAAACACAAAAAGGATTAAAAGCACAAGTTTAACTCAAAAACATAACCAAATCATAAGCTAGAAGGGTACAAAATGATATACAATTATGAACCGATCAGGCAATATTTAAAAAATTAAAAACTCAACCAAAAAAAAAAACCAAAAACAATGCTAATGCCATTCATAGTAAATTCAACTTCTAAAAAGTTTCAAAAATCAAATGATTATACATAAACAAAATATACAATTATATATTCATATGCAAAGTCAGATTGCTTGGGTTTGGAGAGTCCCCTATTTGTCTAACTTTTAATTTGAGTGAAGAAATCCAGCGTGTGTGGCTTAATTTCTTATGTGTCATTGCCCAAATTATTCATAAGTAAAATTAAGATAAACAAAAGATGTTATTTCCAAGATAAAGAGTGTTTGTAAAATTAAAATTAAAAAAATTCGAAGAGCCTTTTTTTAGAGTGCTGATAAACGAACCCTAAAATTAACTAAGTACATCCTAATATTTTAATCAAAATGTAAAATTAAGTAAGTACACCCTATTTAACTAACAAAATAAAAAAAATATAAAAAAAACCATTCAATTCTTAGTTTTTCTTCGATTTTAGACTTTCTTACGACTTTTCAGCAACCAAATGGATTATAAACTTACAAAACAATACAACAAACTGTGGAAGGGAAGACTTCAAGACATATTAAGCCCAGCTATTTAAAATTCAATTCCTGTAATCAGATTGGAGCCTCCAAAATGGCATGCAAACCAAGGCGCCTGAAGCTGCATGCATCTCAATTATATACAAATTATCATCCTCTGTTACCAAAATTACTTTCAATAACCACAAATTCATTTAAAATAACAATCAAACTCGAATCTTAAAAGGACCCAAAAACTAATCACCTAAAGGCTCATTTGGGAGTGATTTTAGATAGGCCAATAATCATTTCTATGGAAAATCACTTCTCCATATAATCACTTTAAGTGCTTTTATGGAGAAGCACCTCCCATATGCTTCTCTCCAGAATCACTTAAAATCACTAAAGTGATTATATGGAGAAGCAAGTGGGAGATGCTTCTATCCAGACGTGATTCTAGCCTATCCAATTTTATTTTTGGGAGATGCAATTTTTTTTATGCATATAGGTCTTGTCATAATATATAGAAACCAGTCTTATATATACATAGGATTAGAAGACGAGTTCAAACAGGCGCACCACTTACCCATCCAATACTCATCAACGACTCGAGGCACGGTAGACCGTGCTGGCACGCCTGCGCACAAACGCACCGCACCCAAAAGCAGGAAACCGCGTGTCAACGCACTTCTCCTCGGCCCGGAAACCCAGGCCGTGAGATTTGCGCGGCAGACAATTGGGATTGAAACTTTTCCTCTACTTGTCCTCTTGGAGCTTATTGCTGTAAGATCTATGTACAATATTAGTTGGTTAATATTGTGCGCACATAAATTCCGCAAGTGATCATCAGTTAATTTGCTAGAAATCAAGCCTTAATTATTGAAGGATGACTTTTGATTGAAGCTTATTGCCTTGTACAGCTGATTTACATAGACATCACTTCATTTCCTTCTTTTATGTATAATCACCTTAGCTTAGACACAGCGTCTAGCGATTCTTTCCTTTTTGTAAATCTTTCGGATTGTTATATATTTGTAAACTTATGAGTACAGAAAACATTCACCATATTTTCTTATAGCAATCTAGCAAGAATTAACACTACTTGAATTTGCGTACGTAGTGAATCAATGCATATGGCCTTCAGAGCAATTTTCGTTGCAATCGTTTGCCTCTTGGTCTCTGCAAAGGCAGTTTCTCCAACCCTTGTTCGTGGGATCCGCATACTAGGGCATGTGTTTTGCACTGTCGACAACATTGCCGTCGATCCTCTTCATACCCCAACATTCCCAAGTAAGTTCATCAATTAATTAGCCGGCCGATGCCACCAATTACTTTCCTAAGGTTACTTATTTGGTTTTAATGAATTAAAAACTTGTTATATATATATTTGTGTGTAGATGCTACTGTGGTGCTGCAGTGTGGAAGTGAAAATACAACGATTGTTTCTGCGAGAACCAACAACGCCGGAGCGTTTCATATCTTATTGGATCCTTCGATCTCTGTTGCCTCTTCGATAGAGTCTGATTGCAGGCTAGTTGTTACCACACCACTTGCCAACTGCAATGCCGCTTTGTCTCCAACACGGACTCTCTCATCGGAGTTGCTGTTCCTCCTAACCTTAATCGGCGATGTCGTTTTCGATACCTATGTTCCACGTCGGTTCATGCTCAAAGGCTGAGCAACTTATACAAATGAGCAAGCGTTTAAACAATAACATATAGGAGCCTCTGTAGGATTATAGTCGTCTTAATTTGTTTTCCAAGTATTAATTTCTATTATGCTTCATGAAGTCCTCCCATACCAGAACGAAGGTTGGGATTCAGATTATTGCACTATCGATCCTCTGCTACTTCCTTTCACAATCAAATAATTAATAACGGCCATTTATTTCAATTACAAGTTACAACTTACAAACCTTGTATGCTTTGCCCTTGCCACATATTGAGTGCATGCAGCAGAAACTAGCTAGCGACGAACAAAAATGTACAGGAAGAAAATGTGGGGGGCTCATGTGACTTGTGAAAAATTCATACTAGTATTATACAAAATCATTTTCATGTACAATTTTATATCCTCCAAGAGTACCACCATACAAATCATTAGTGGTCTTTGAAATACTTGAGTTTAATATCAAAATTAATTTGAACTTGACACATTAAATTATTCAACTTCAAGAAAGTTTCAATCACAACCTAGCATAAATGTTTATCAAATTCCACCAAACTTCCTTTTAACTTGTTGGAATTAACTTAACATTTTATTAGACATAAATAACTCATTAAAAAAAAAGTTGAAACAAAGTTCACATATATGTCACTAAGAAATTAAACAATTAATGTGGATTAAGCCTCTATACCACCAATTTTTCCCGTTTGAATAATTTATGTTTAAAAAAGTACAATCTCACATTGAAAACTAGACAAAATAAAATACAACATGTGATTCTACTTTTAATATAGCCCTGATCACTTTTGTGCTAAAACCCCACACTTGCCGGGTTATACAGGTGGTTGGTCCTCTTTGAAATCTTAACAATTTATATGTTGGGGTCCGACCTCTTTGAACATTAGGAACAAAAATACAACTAGATCAAGAGTTGGGAAATGTTAAATAATTGTTTTCTAAGTTGTTCCTTTCACATTCCATAAGGGCGTCAATCTCTTATGTCTCTAAGACTCTAACCCATCCAAAAGAAAAAGAAAAGAAATTCACCATATATCAAGAAGTAAATGAATGACCACTTATTTTTGGAGAAGACGGAATTCCAGATCTAGCTAGGTGAGGCAATGCGGCTCATAGAATTGGTTATTGTGTGCACAACAATTCTGCAAGTCATCAGTTAATTTGCTAGAATTCAAGCCTTAACTGAAGGATAAAATTTGATTGAAGTTTACCCTTGTTTAGCTAATTAATTACAACACTTTCTTTCCTTCTTGTGTGTAATTACCTTAGACGTAGGATCTAGAGATTCTTTCCCTTTTGTAAACCTTTACGATTGTTATATATTTGTAATATCGAAAAGATTCACCATACTTTCTTGTAGCAATCTACCTAGGCTAGAATCAATGACCTTCAAAACAATTTTTGCTGCAATTGTATGCCTCTTGGTCGCTGCAGTGGCAGTTACAAAAGCTAAGCCCAATATTGATGAGGATCCCAGGTCCCTACTTGCTGCGTTCTACATACAAGGGACTGTGTTTTGCACTACCGATGGCAATTTGGGTGACGCCGCCGATCCTTTTCTTACTCCACCATTCCCAAGTAAGTTAATTAGTAGCCCAAACCACCAAAATTACAATTCTAAGTTAGCTCTATGGTTGTATTGAATTATAAAATTGTTATGTTTTCTTTTACGCATGTTCATAGATGCTACTGTGGAACTGCAATGTGGACCTGCAAATACAACGATTGCTCTTGCGAGAACCATCAAGAACGGAGTGTTTTCAATCTTGCTGGATCCTTTGACGTCCTTTGCTGGCTCTTTGATATCTTCTTGCAGGCTAGTGCTTACCACGTACGCCGCTTTCGAGCTGCAATGACACTTTGTCCACACAGCCTTTCTCATCGGCGTTGCAGGTCATTAGACCAACTCAACCTCACAAGGTCTATCTCTTCAATGTTTTTCCAGTTCGGTTCATGCCCAACGTCTAAGCTTAATACAAATGAGCAAAGCGTTTAGGGAATTAACGTAATTAACCTCAATCTGACTAGCTAGCTAGGAGAGCCTATGTAGGATTATAGTCATCTTAATTTGTTTTCCAAGTATTTTTCTTATGATATTCACAAAGTCCCATGCATTTATTTCAATTACAAGTTATAACCGTTATATACTTTGTCCTTGTCACATATTGAGTGCAGCAGAAACTAGCGAGGAACATAAATGACAGAAAAGAAAATGTGGGGGGCTCATACGATACGACTTGTAAAAAATTCATATAGTATTGTACAAAATCATTTTCCTGAACAAACTTATATCCTCCAAAGGGTACCACCATATAAATTAGAGGTCTATGAAAAACTGAAGTTATAATTTCTTTCTGATGAAAATTAATTTCAACTTTGACACACATCAAATTATTCAAGTTCAAGAAAGCTTCAATCACTAACAAAATAAGACCAATGGATTGACGGTCTTGCGGGAGAAACTGACGCAGGACGTCTTTGAAATTACAAAACGCACATTTACGTAACTATCATTTAGTTAGCTTCAAATGGTTTCGCGCAATATCATTTAAAAGATACAATGCTTATACCTTATAAGAACCGAACCGAAGGCATTTAGGAGCATAAGCCCAGGAAGAAGAGCCAAAGCTTCAGAAGCTTTTGGTTTTGGGAGAAGAGAATTTGAATGTCGGGAACCACCATTGGCAAGTTCAACCCTTTACATGGCGGTGACATCATCCTCTCTCTGTTTCACAAGCACAGGACCTTTGGCCATTTGAAGCAAATCCACTCCCTCCTCATCACCTTTGGCCTCTCACAAAACCCTTTCTTCCTCGCCAAGCTTGTTACTTCCATTGCAGCCTCTCAACCTAGCCATCTTGCCTACGCTTCGCTGCTCTTCGACGGGGTAGAAGCACCCACCACTCAGTTATGGAATTCCATAATCAGATCATTCTCTACGAGTTCAGAACCTCGCAGGTCCCTCATTTCCTATTCAAAAATGCGCACAAATGGTATTGCTCCCGACAAGCACACCTTCCCTTTGCTTCTCAAGGCCTTTTCCAAGTTGGAAAACGAAAACCCATTTCAGTTTTACGCTCATATAGTCAAGTTTGGATTGAATTTTGACCAGTTTGTGAGGAATTCATTGATATCTGCATTTTCTGGTTGCGGGTACTTAGAGTCTGCCAACCAGGTGTTTGATGAAAGTACGCACAAGGATGTGGTTGCTTGGACTGCATTTATTGACGGGTATGTGAAAAACGGTCGTGCCCTGGAAGCAATCAAGTGTTTTTTGGAGATGAGATTGATGGGAATTAGGGTCGATGAGGTGACAGTTGTTAGTGTTCTTTGTGCTGCCGGAATGGCTGGTGATATTTGGTTTGGACGGTGCGTTCATGGGTTCTATGTGGAAGCAGGTAGAGTACAATGGGATGCCTATGTTGGTAGCGCTCTTCTGGATATGTACATGAAGTGCGGCTACCATGAAGATGCTTGTAAAGTTTTTAATGAAATGCCAGTTAAAAATGTAGTTTGTTGGAGTGCCTTGATAGCAGGTTATACGCAATGTAGCAAATATAAAGATGCATTGCTTGCCTTGAAATATATGCTTTCAGAGAGCATCAGACCTAACCAATCTACATTCACGAGTGTACTTACTTCTTGTGCGCACCTAGGGGCGCTAGATCGAGGAAAGTCGGTTCATGGTTACATATGTAGGCATAAAATTCCAGTGAACTCATTACTTGGAACAGCATTAGTAGATATGTATGCAAAATGTGGTTGCATTGATGAGGCTCTATCTGTTTTTGGAAAGTTACCCACCAAGGACGTCTTTACTTGGACTGCCATGATTAGTGGGTTGGCAATGGATGGGGATGCTTTAAAAGCTTTGAACTTCTTCTCGCGTATGTTACAGAGTGGGGTTCTGCCTAATGAAGTAACCTTCATTGGTGTTCTTAGTGCTTGTTCTCATGGAGGTCTTGTAGATGAGGGACGTAAGCTTTTTGATTCAATGAAGCAGGTTTTTCATTTGGAGCCTACTGTAGACCACTACGGTTGTATGGTTGATTTACTTGGTAGGGCTGGGTACTTGGAAGAAGCAAGAAAAATGATTGAGGGCATGCCAATGTTGCCAACAGCTGGTGTATGGGGAGCTCTGCTTGGTGCCTGTATGATTCATAAGAATTTTGAGCTAGGGGAACTTGTAGGAAATCATCTGATCAAGCTGCAGTCAAATCACAGTGGACGATACATACTTTTGTCGAACTTGTACTCGACATGGAAGAAATGGGAAATAGCTGCTGGCATAAGGAAGCTCATGAAAGGGAAACGTGTTGAAAAGATGACAGGGTATAGCTGGATAGAAGTCAATGGTGCAATTTTTGAGTTCGCTGCTTTTGACAAATCACATTCTGAATCAGATAATATATATTTGATGCTGGACAACATGTTCGTCCAATTGAAACTCGCTGGTTATGTTCCAGATACTAACCCACTTGCGTTTGACATTGATGGAAGCTGAGTATAATATATCATCTCCCAAGCATGATGATTTTCTCTTTGACAAGGATGGTTAGCTTTGAACTTTATTGCGTACTCCAAATTCAATGCATCATGGTGTGTTGACTTCTTGCCTTATTGATTGAATTGCTTGTAGATACTTGGAACTTTTGTCAGACAATTCTACAACTTATGCTTGGATCTTTGACCCTGTGTTTTTTTTTTGGTCAACTTTTTTCCCTCTTGAAGGTTGTATAATCTAACTCTCGGTGCTATTGGAACAAGAATTTGACCGTCCTTTTTCACTCAAGGCCTGAGTTGGTGAGAATCCTGATCCATATAACATTTTAAAAATTGTTGCACTTGCATATAGTTTCGTTTCTATCTCCTGGCCGGAAGAACAGAAGAAAAAGATTTAATTTCTATCAACCGTGATATTACTATTCTTCTATTTTCCCTTTTTGACTTGTTGGAAATCAACTTTATCGTAGTTTGCATTTCTTCTATTAACCTCTTCTTCTCAATAGAGACGAATGGTGCTTTCATAAATCAATTTAGATTTTGGTTAATGTGGCTACCCAAGCCACTAGCTAGGCTGCTTGCATATAGATCATGCACCTATTCATCATTTTACCTTTCCCTTCTGTTTCTGTCCATCGACGTAAAGTGGTCTTTTATATTCTTTGCCTAATATCTTATTGGTCTTATATTAATTGCATGCCATAAATACATCACAAAGAGCTGAAAGCTACTGTTTACTGACTTTTCATGCTAAATAGACCGCAAATGTAGAGCTGCAAGCTGCTCTTTTCTACTCTACTAGATTATGAGGCGCCCGATTACGCTATCTTCCATGGGCACTTGTAAAACAGGTTGTTTGGACCAATGCTATTTCTTCAGGCATGCACTTGCAAAGTTTCAATGTATGTAACTTCAGTTATTGTTTGCATGTGGAATTTATTTAATGATATATGTGGTACATGTGTTTTACGTTTTCTATTTGAATGATATTATTATTATTTTTGCATATATCAACAGTGTTGATGAAGATTTTTGGATCACCATCATTAGAGAGGAAAATCACAATCACACACATAAACACATGATTTTGAGTGGTTCACCTATAATTAGGCTACATCCACTTTGGAGCTTTTGTGTTTTCTATTTATATTTCTCCGTGGAGGCTTACATATCGTTAAATTGAGAGAGAGGCTTGAGTGCCATTTGTAAAAGAGAGAGGCTTGAGAGCCTTTGTAAAAGAGAGAGCTTGGGAGATCACCTCCATTTGTAGTCCAAGTAGTGGTAGGTAGTTTGCTTGATTGTAATCAAATTGGTAGTTCGCATGGGCGGCAGGGGCAAGTTATGGCAAGGGATGTCTAATCCCTAAGTTGGGGGATCTTGCCTCAAAGGGTTGGTGAGGCCAATCTTGGTGTCAACAAACAGCACAAACTATGACAATGAGATCAGGCCGACTAGGTTTGGCCCTTCGGGCATTGGAAGATTGAGCCATTTTAGGTACTACGTATTATAATTTTTATATACGAATATCTGTCTATTATTTTTGCCTATACCTAACCAAAAAACTTCGTAACTTCTTGCAGAAGCGAATGAAAACCAATGTTCCTAACTGTGACAAACTTCCCTTGGAACCATTGGGCGTGTTCATGACCATTTGTTTAGCATGCACAGAGGTTTTGGTTGATCTTCACACAGAACCGCTACGATCTACCGTGCAAGAGGAGGAGATTTCCGCTGCTCTCAAAGCTTCTGTTGATAGTTTGGAATAGTTTCAGGCTCAGATGACTGAGATGCAGGCTATGATGTAGTACCGATACTGCCGCCCCAATGACATTCCTGATTCCAGCCCTTTAGCTTATTTTGTTAACCTGGCATCTAACAATATGCAATTTTATTTGAATAATTTGTAGTTTTAGATGATTTTGTTTTAATTTTTTTACATGTGAACAATTTATATAGCCAAAATTATTCGCACTCCAAAATAGTCATTATGTATAAGTGCAACTCCTTTGTGTTTTTATAAGGAAGGAGTGCATGATGATTTTCTTGGAGTATTAGTAACAACTCCCTTTATGTAAATCATGTACTTTGTTTTGTGTATCGCGTCATATCTTTTTCTTTGCCAATTCAATACTAGTTTGCAATAAACTAAAATAATATTTAATTATGTTAAAAAGTGCTAACGAAATATTTTGAAGTTCTTATAGCAAGGACATGTTATGTTGCTAAAGAATGAACAAAATTATTCTTAAGTAACTGTCCTACATAATTGGAAAGGGATGCCTCCTCTTTTGTAAATGTTGTTGTTTGAAAGCCAATGCAATGCTTTTTGTCTCACATCGACAAAAACCCCATGTTTTTTCCAAAGGATTTTAAATGGTGGGCTTGTTGGGCTTGGCTATGGATTTGGCAATAAAAATAAAAACTCATTAATCAAAAACTCCTATTTTTTTTAGGCTTATTTACTGTAGTGCCCTCTGAAACTTTAGTCAAATCTCAGTTTGCCCCCCAAAACTTAAAGTGGCCCATTTACCCCGCTTGACCGTGGTTTGGTAACTCACTTTGCCCCCTGCTGTTATCTCCAATCATAACTCCGTCAATTTGAGTCATATCTTTTTCTTTGCCAATTCAATACTAGTTTGCAATAAACTAAAATAATATTTAATTATGTTAAAAAGTGCTAACGAAATATTTTGAAGTTCTTATAGCAAGGACATGTTATGTTGCTAAAGAATGAACAAAATTATTCTTAAGTAACTGTCCTACATAATTGGAAAGGGATGCCTCCTCTTTTGTAAATGTTGTTGTTTGAAAGCCAATGCAATGCTTTTTGTCTCACATCGACAAAAACCCCATGTTTTTTCCAAAGGATTTTATATGGTGGGCTTGTTGGGCTTGGCTATGGATTTGGCAATAAAAATAAAAACTCATTAATCAAAAACTCCTATTTTTTTTAGGTTTATTTACTGTAGCGCCCTCTGAAACTTTAGTCAAATCTCAATTTGCCCCCCAAAACTTAAAGTGGCCCATTTACCCCGCTTGACCGTGGTTTGGTGACTCACTTTGCCCCCTGCTGTTATCTCCAATCATAACTCCGTCAATTTGGATGACGTGGCAGGGCTATTTTCGTATTTTTACCACAAATGATGATGTGTCATGTACATGGCCCACTTTTTTTGCTGAAGTGAAATAACATATTAATAAAAATAAAAATAATGTAATTACTGTTTAATTAAAAAAAATTAAATGGAAAATTTAATTTAAAAAAAATATCTTCTTCTTCATCTCTCTCTGTCTCTCTGCGCCCTCTCCTTCCCCTAACTTCACCATCAGACCACAGCCAACACCCAACCCAACGCCACCCAAAGCAGCCACCAGTCAAAACCCTAGCACTTCTTTTTCTCTATCACTATTTTCTTTTGCCTTTTCTTCTCTCTCTCTCTCTCTCTCTCTCTCTCTCTGAACAAACGAACTTGTTATTCTCTCACTCTCCAAAGCAGGTTGCTGAATCGAAGGAATAAATGTGAAAAAATAAAAATAATGCTAATTTTCTTTTTCTTTTTTCTTTGAAGAGTCTGATCCCTCCATCTCTCTTCCCCACTCTCTTCGAACAGCTTCACAGCCCCATCAACACCATCGAAGGCTTCACAGCTTCGAGGAGATCCGATGGCTTAATCGGGTCGCAGGCGCTGACCCGTTTCAAACCTGATCTTGGCGGTCGTCACTCTCTCTCTCACACACACACAATCCTTGCTACAATCCCCAAATTGTTGACAAGAAAAACTCAAATTAAGGAGTTTTGTAGGTATGAGAGTTTTGTGGGTATGAGAGTGGTGGATGTGGGCATGGTTTGAGAGAGGAATTTTGTGGGTGATTGCGGAAATTTGGGGCTGCAGTAGATTGGGTGGGGTGCGGGTTCTGGGTAATTGATTGGGTTATTGTTTGTGTATATTAGTTTGGTTGATGTTATATTCTAATGAGTTTTTCTGGAAATTTGATTGAATAAGAAGGTTAATTTGTTGGTTTTTGGGTTTTTTTTTTCCTTTTTCAACGGTGGTGGTGATATGACTGAGAGTGTAGGAGGCATGGGAGAGACAAAGGCAGAGAGAAAGGTTTGGTTTCTGGGTAAGAGATTTAGTTTATGAGAGTGATTTGAAAATTAGTCAAAAAATGGGAGCAATTTTCCACATCACCTGGGTTGGTGGTTGTTTGGGCAGGGAGGGGGTGGGCTTGAGGAGGGCGGTTATGGCTGCCAAGAGGGGTTGGGTAGAGAGAGAGAGAGAGAGAGAGAGATTCTTTTTAGTTTTAAATTTTTTAATGTTTTATTTTTATTTTTATTAGTTTTAATTATTAGAATATTTAATTATTTTTATGTGGAGGTGGGCTCCATTGGCCATGTCACCCTTTAATTGGTGGATAATGATACATGTTTATGAAATTACAAAAACACCCATGCCACGTCATCATAGTTAACAGACTTTTAGATGGAGTTGACGACATGGGGCAAAGTGAGTCACCAAACCACGGTCAAGCGGGGTAAATGGGCCACTTTAAGTTTTGGGGGGCAAAGTGAGATTTGACCAAAGTTTCAGGTGGCGCTACAGTAAATAAGCCTTTTTTTTATTCCCAATTCATGACTTTTTCCATTCCTAATAGATGCCCACTTTTTATTTTCTAAATTTTGTTGAGAGGGCAAAGTTGATTTCCAATTCATGACTTTTTTCATTCTGGTTCGGCACTCTCATTCCTTAAGAGCATCTCCAGCGCAGCCCACCAAACCAGGCAAAAGGCCCCCCAGGGCAAGGTTTGGCCCTCCAGCGCTGCAGCCTGCAGCCTAGTTTCGCATGGGTCCCACGAGCCCGGGCAAGCCCAAGGGCAGGTTTCGCCTGGGCTTCAGCCCGAGTTTTGTGATGTCAGCGCTGACGTCAGCGAGCAAAAAAAAATTTTAAAAATCCAAAAAAATTATTAAAAAAATACCAAAAAATTATAGATGCTTTCCCTATAAATACATAACAATTTTATTCACTTTCTAAATTGTTTATATTTTGTTGCATAATATTTTTTTCCTTTCTTGCCTTAGACTTGCCCTAGACTTAGCCCTCATGGGTGGAACCACAAATGGCAAGGCTGACACTATTCACGTGAATAGTGGCAGCCCTTGCTTGCCCTTGCCCTAGACTTAGCCCTTGTGGGTGGAGATGCTCTAAGAAGTGCCCACTTTTTCTTTTCTAAATTTTGTTGAGAGGGCAAAGCTGGGTTTTAAAAGTTGCAGAACCATTGTTGAGTGCAAAAAGTAGAACGTGGGATCCTAATATAAATTTTAAATTTTTTTTTTTAAACAAACGATATTGGTAAATGAGGAATCCAACATAAGATCTCAGATGTATGAATAAATGCTTAACAACTTAAGCTATAAGTCCCTTACTAATATAATTTCCTTTTGAATTCATTTAGTTTGCGAAATGGACTTCTTAGAAACGAAACTCCCATAACTGGACACATCAACCTGTTACCGTACCTCGTATTAACAGATTGATCCATTGGGTAATAAACTCAGCCGAAGCCCATTTTTCGGGCCCATTCTGTACACCAAGCCCGAGCCCAATGGCTTTGACAATCCAATTTCAAAACTGCAGCAGCGTTACAATGCGCTGAAGAGCGGGAAGAAGAAAACAGGAAAGGGACAATGAGAAGCGAGAAGACACTGAAACGGAAACCCAAAAAAATTCCCAAAAACTGTTCAAAGAACCAATTAATTAAAATGGAGGAGAGAATAAGACTAAGCTGTAAACATTGATTTTGTTTCCTAAAAAAGTATATGGGTTTTGTAATACCAAGAAAAGCAAGAGAGGCCAACACTTTGCTCAATATATTATCCTCCCGTCTCATCCACCGCTCTCTCTACTGGGCGTTCTTTCACATTGAATTTCTCTCTCTACACACCAGAGGTATGGGTTCTTCTTCTATGTATTTGTTGGGTTTGCTTCTTTTTTTTTCTCCCTCTTTTTAGTTTTTAGTTTTGTCTTTGGAAATTTTGGGTTTTGGGTTTTGATTTATTTGTTATTTGATCTATTTTGATATATATTTTAAAAAAAATTCTGAAATATGTGTGTTTTTGGATATATGTGTGTGTGCTACGGCTATTGCTTTCATTGTATTATCTTATATTAGTCTGTTTGCCATGTTGGCTGTGATTTTTGGATACAAAAGCAGAATTCAAGCTAGGGAATATGTTTTTGGGGTTCAGGTGGTTTAAGTTTGTGAATTGTGTTTTTGACATGGTGGATATTTTCTTGTGGGGAAAAAGATAAGGGGCCAAATCTTCTAGGGAATATACTTTTTTTCTTTTGTACAATTTGAATGCATTCTGATGAATTTTTCTTCTCATGTTCAAGAACAAAAACGATGTAAAGATTTTTGTAAGTTCTTAGCAAAAAAGATAAAATAGTGCAAGTGATATTTCTTTAATTGTTAAGACCAATGTTTGAGACCCCTTTTTATTTTTCCTCAGTGACTAGATAACATCAGGGAAAATTTGTTTGTGAACTCAGAACTGGTTATCTCAAATTAAAATTTCTTTCTGAATGTTCAGGTTTTTGTTTGAAAATTGATAAATCAGCTTGTTAGCATGAGCATAGAAGGATCTAGTGAATTTCAACGGTGGAATGTGAGAGATGTTGCGATGGGAAGGATAATAGATTTGGACCTTAATTATCCACCTCCTAATGAGAACATGGCTCTAACTGGTCCTTTGGGATTACAAGTTCAAGGAATTGGTTATCAAGGACAAGCTACAGCTGCTGCGGATTTTGTGGATGATGAAGTTGTTATAATCTCACCAAGGAAATTTGCAGAAGTATGATATTTATCTTTACTATTGAATCTTATATGAAAAATGCTTAAAGTTGATTTTAATTTTCTGGTGTCAACTCGTGTTAGGCCACGAATAATTCACGAGGAAATCATTCTCGGAGAAGCCGTAGAGTTATAGAAGGTCTTTCTGAAGGTGCAAAATTCTATACCAGGCTTTCAGGTTTATTAATGTTTTCCCTTCTGCATGTACTTCTTACATTATCCAAGCATCAAATTCAGACAGTTGCGCTCCACTACTGATTAGTTCTTTACATTCTCATTGTCATGTTGGTTGCAATAGACCACAGCTTTGTAGGAGATTATGTGTCTCTGGAATGATATTTTTTCAATATATTTCTTGAGCTATGCCCCTCAGTTGGAACCATGCTTTTGATATTTACTTCTTTTTCAGTTAAGGGTTCACTCTACTGATCGACTCTTTAACATTAGTGTAGACTATTTAGTACTTTTATTCTGTTAAAATAACGTTCACGTAGGTAGGTAACTGTTATTCTGTTTTGGTCGTGTTACCGATATTCACTGTTCAGTGTCTCTCTTGATAGTCTGAACTTTTTCATAGTTTAATTAAAAACTTTAATTCCTGTTGGATGTACAATGTAAGTTATGTCTTATTGAAGTTTTCTTGGTTGCACTTGACCTTATAATCTACTATCAACAGAATTGACAAATTTCCGTGCCTTTAGCCAACTTGGAGCTTCCAGCTGGGAGGTTTCGGTCAATGTTGATGTTCGTAACAAACCAGAGTATACTGTAAGAATCTTCCCTAAGTTCTTATGATGCTATTTCCTTGCTTTAGTATATCCACTTCTCTTCCCACTTTATATAGAGTAGCACATTGGCACTTCTGTTGCATATATGATACAGCTACTAAATAACATCACTATGAACATACATATGTTTCGCGTATAAAATAGCCAAAAAAAGAAGATTGAATTTGAACATCCTACTTTTCAACTGATCACATGTCAACCTTCAGTGGGAATGACACCTGATTTAATTTGAAACTTCAAACAACTGCTTTTGAAGTTTAAATTACTTAAATGTTCATTTCTTCTCATTTGTTTTTTCTTTTTTACCTTTACATAGTAGTGGCACATAGTTGCAGATCTCAGACATATTTGGTTAGATGCCAGATTTGTTGTTTGGTAATTTGTCTTTGAAAGACAAGAAAGTATTTATCGGACCCCTCCAAATTATTTTGAAGAACTTATCTAGCACTTCTTTTAACAACTCATGTGCTTGGTGCAAATTGGTGCAAATTTCTGGAACTGAGCAGATTGGTCTATGCTCCTCAGTTAAAATAACAGTTCACGTAGGTAGTTAATTGTTATTCTGTTTTGGTCGTGTTACCGAGATTCTCTGTTCAGTGTCTCTCTTGATTAGTCTAAAGTTTTTCATAGTTTAATTAAATACTTTAAGGTGAATTTTTTTCCTACCCATTTCTGCAATATTGAAGGTACAATGTAAGTTATGTCTTATTGAAGTGTTCTTGGTTGCACTTGACCTTATAATCTACTATCAACAGAATTGACAAATTTCCGTGCCTTTAGCCAACTTGGAGCTTCCAGCTGGGAGGTTTCGGTCAATGTTGATGTTCCCTAAGTTCTTATGTGCCTTTAGCCAACAAACCAGAGGATACTGTGCGTAACAAACCAGAGTATATTGTAAGAATCTTCCCTAAGTTCTTATGATGCTATTTCCTTGCTTTAGTATATCCACTTCTCTTCTCACTTTATATAGAGTAGCACATTGGCACTTCTGTTGCATATATGATACAGCTACTAAATAACATCACTATGAACATACATATGTTTCATGTATAAAATAGCCAAAAAAAGAAGATTGAATTTGAACATCCTACTTTTCAACTGATTACATGTCAACCTTCAGTGGGGATGACACCTGATTTAATTTGAAGCTTCAAACAACTGCTTTTGAAGTTTAAATTACTTAAATGTTCATTTCTTCTCATTTCTTTTTTCTTTTTTACCTTTGCATAGTAGCGGCACATAGTTGCAGATCTCTGACATATTTGGTTAGATGCCAGATTTGTTGTTTGGTAATTTGTCTTTGAAAGACAAGAAAGTGATTATCGGACCCCTCCAAATTATTTTGAAGAACTTATCTAGCACTTCTTTTAACAGCTCATGTTGAATTTATGAGTAGTATGCATGAAACTGTTAATTACGTATATCTAACCGGCAGATTGGTGCAAATTTCTGGAACTAAGCTTGGAAGTTTCTGATGGCAGGCAACTAACGTTCCCGTGCCTCCAGTTGTGCCCCAGAGTGAGTTCCTGCCAGAGGCACCTGGTTTCACTTGTGCAATCTGCATAGGCCAGTTGATTGAAGAAACATCGACAAAGTGTGGTCACATCTTCTGCAAGAAGTGCATTGAGAAAGCCATAGCTACTCAACACAAATGCCCTACCTGCAGGCATAAACTTAGAAAGCGAGATATCCTCAGGATCTACCTTCCAAACAGCAGTTAAATGGATTATGTACCTCCTAGTGGCGAAGTTCTAGAGGTGTTGTAACTGTGTTCTTGTTTTTCTCAGTTTTCTTATTTGGTATAAAATTAATGATAAAAAATGCTTTTATTTTCCTTTATTTTTTAGTGAACTAGAAAAAGCAATAATTTAGGTATTGTTTCAAAGTTGTGAACTCATCTTTTGCTTATTTGGTAGAAAATGCAATCGATGAAGATTTTGACTGCATGAAACTCTCTCTCTCTCTCTCTTTGTGCGTATTTGTTCCAACTTATGAACTGCTCTTTTTCTTGTTTGGTTGAAAATTCAGTAAATGAAGATTTTGAATTATCAAACTAGAAGCTTTCTGCATATTTGTTCATTCACTAGATCGAAGTGTTGGATATGACGGAAGGTGACCATCAATCCTAGTTTAGTCTGATGCATATTATTGTCACTTTATGCAGGAAACGAAGCAGGTCGTTAAACTGATAAGCTCCTAGGAAAGGTGTGAATTCTTAGGCATTGTGAGTTGATACGGCACACTGATTCAGCTGCCCTTTCTTAGGGTAATTCTTCTGGCTGTTCAACGGTTGCGATTCTAGGCTTCCAGTGAAGAGAACATTGGTTTATCAAGTCTCTACAGTCACAGTTATTGAACTTTCTTTTAAAACTTGCATGGACTAGTTCAGTTGTTTTCCTCTCGGAGGGTCTTGTTTTGAGACTGACTTTTGAAATTAGGCTTCTTAGATCTTGTTATCATTAGCTTCCTGACACAGTTTGGAGTTACAGGCAGAATAGTTGAGAAGGCTGAGAAGAGTAGTCTTCCAACATTTTTAGACAATGTAATTGGCATTCAGTATAAATGGAAGTTCCCTTACTGTTGCAAGTTGCATTTTTAGACAATGTAATTACATTTTTAGACAATGTAATTGTCTCAATCTAGTGATACTTTTTTTTCTCAATCTTAATTGAGATATTAAGTTTGAATGCCCGCTTCCTGCCAAAACTGAAAAACAAAACTGCAAAGGTGTTGTATTGAAATAAAAGAAAAAGAAGGAAATTTTCGAAAACTAAACTAATTTTGGCCGTTCAATGATGTTTAACCAGTTTTTCTGGAGTCTTGTAGCTCAAGTGGTTAGAGTATTTACCCATACACCTAAAGTCCTACCAAAATATAAAATAAAAATTTATGGATCCAGTAGTGCTGGGACCCCATTTATTATAGATTGAAGATTGTATAAGAAAAAGGGGATAAATTGGATAAAGAAAAGGCTAAATTGGATCAAAAGAAAGTTGGGCCTCTGGATTCCAAGTCCAACTGGTCGGCCCAAATTTCCACCCAAGCCCAAAAATTGGCAGATTTTTCAGTAAATTCTCTCTCTCCCTCTCTCTCTCTCTCTAATTTTGAATTTCGCTTGCTGCATTTCGGTGTACACACGACACAGGGCGGGAGCAAAAGAGAGAGAAAAGAACATGGAAGAAGACCCAATTCCTTCTTCAGAACCACTCGGCCTTAACACCATTCAGAGGTCTCTGTCTGTCTGCCTGTCTGTCTGTGTATAATGGATTTACTTTTTTGTTTATTTTCTGAATTATTGTTTATTTTGTGTTTAAATTTGAAGACAAGTGAGAGAGCTGGAAGAGATTATCGAAAGTTGTCGCCAAGACGATGCCTCAGAATTATCCCCTTCAGATTCTGATGATTTAATCAGAAACTGCGGTCTCCTCCTCCAGGTTTTCTTGAAATTAATCCCACTTTTTCGTCCAATTTGCACAATTCCTTGCATTTCCCTAACTCTCCATGTGAATGTGCAGAGCAGAGTTGAACAGATAATATCAGAATGCTCTGATGTTGGTCTTTTAGAGGATCAAGAATTTGGTAACTTCTCCTTTAATCTCTCTGTCACTGTGTTTTTCTTTACTGGGCAATCGATTTTGCTAGTGGGTTTGTGACATTTAGTACTAGAACTTACTGCACTATGGGATTTGTCCAATTTTTGTTAGAAGCATACTTAGGACGTTTTGAGCAGGAGCTCAACTCTGTGGAGGCTGAGAGCACCAAGGTCTCAAATGAAATTGAGGGTCTCATTCGAACCCATGGGGAAGGTGAAGACTCAGTCTTTAGTGTTCCACGCCAATGTGCATTGATATTTAATGTATGATGTTTTTTTTTCCGACCTTTTCTTTTGTATATGCAGATTTTAATCGACTTGGCACTGATCTTGCACAGTTGAAATGTTCATTATATTTTGTTGAAGAAAAGGTTGGTTTTCCGTTGGTGAAACAATATTAGTTTTTTTGGATCAGACTCTTTGGTAGTATGACAAGGCATGCAAGCCAATTTGTTTGATACAAATGGGTTTGAATGGAGACCTATAATCTGCTCTTTCTTACAAGTCTGTGAATAGAGGTTGAATTTAATTACAGTTATCTGGTGTATACACATGTTGTAATTTATCCCTTTATCCCTTCAATGTTACAGTTGTTGAAAGTTCCCAGATTTCCATGGTGTAGTAATCTGCACATTATGTGATCCCTTGTTGGTTGTTTCTATGTTCTTTTCATTTTCTCACTTTTGCTTGACTACCTCAACCTCCAGGTTGTATATGATATCTTTATTTCCATAAGTTGGGAATGTTTGAATTTTATTTGGAAATCACATATGAAATCTTTCAAGATAATAGCTGTGTACCATTTGTAGGATCTGGAGAAAGCAAAACTGGGTGCAGATGTTGATTACCATAAATGTGGGAAAGATCTGTTGGATCCGATGAATGTGAATGCAGACAAGTTTGAGGTTTCATTCAAAATCATATTATACAATACTGTTTGCTTCTAGGGTATTATATTAGTTAAGGCTGAAATAATACATACAGACATTTTGAGGGTCTTGATTCTTATGTAAGGAGTTAGCTTGTTAAAGAAATTTCCATAACCTTTTTACCATTTTAAGATATCTTGTGTTTAACTTGCAGCTACTGGAACTTGAAAATCAGATTGAGAAGAACAATATAATTTTGAAGTCTTTACAGGATTTAGAATGTACACTTAAATGGTAATTATGCCACTTTGACCTTATTTTGGGTGAGTGTGTGGATTTCATTTAGCTTGTTATAGAGTTATTCTCTTATACTTTTAGTTTTTATGTTTGATTGATGTAGGCTTGACAACACAGAACAGATTGAGGATGCAGTTACAGGTCTTAAGGTCATTGCTTTTGAGGGAAACTGCATTAGGTTGTCACTTAGGACATACATTCCGAAGTTGGATGACCTTTTCTCCCCAAAAAAAGTTGGAGATGCCACTGAGCCATCTGAAGTAAATCATGAGCTGCTAATTGAAATTCTGGAGGGGACTACGGGTTTAAGGAATGTTGAGGTATCAAAACATGATTATCTCAGGACATCTTTCTTCATTAGTGTCATTGTTTAATAAAGCTTACAATTAGAGGTAATCAAAGACAATATAGCACTCATGGGATGCGCCCCATCTGTTGCTGAACCATGGTGGCAGGTGCTGGCCACTGTTGGCAGTGCCTACATGGCTTGGGCTGACATTGCAGTGCTCCACCCAAGGGTGATGCCATGCCAGCCCCTTCAATGTTCTTTCCATAAAAAATAAAAAATTGTTCTCTCACGTAATTTCATAGAGGGATGAAATTGCAATTATGTTTCTTTTTCTTTTTTGCTTTGTCAAAGGTGGATGGGGTGAGTATTTTTTCATTGTGACATGACAATGAAGGAAGAAGTAAGCTCCACACCCTGTGCATCTTTTAAATGAGTTGGTACTGCTCTCAAATTTCTTATGAGCACTATACTCTGGATTTTTTAAATGCATTGATGATGATATCTCATTTTTCCAGATTTTTCCAAATGATGTATACATAAATGATATTCTTGATGCTGCAAAGGCTTTGAGGTTTGTTTTTCCAGTACCCGTCTTATGATTTCTAAAATTTGTTTCTTTCTTTGTTGTTGTCTTCATGCTATTCTTTTGTTTTTGTTTAAAAAAAAATATTTCCTCTACTGCAATTGGTAGCGCTTCAATAATTAAAAGGCATGCATTTAGCAAACAAATCCCTCTAAAATAAAGTACAGATTCCATGATTGAATTCAGGACCTGGCAGACAGCAGAAACTATCAAGCCAATCACAACACACACGCACACTTGCATTACCTAGTCATATTTTTAATCGGTTTTCTCTCTCTAAAGGTTTTTATTTTTTTTTAATCTTTGACATTTCTTTTGAATTATGTGCACTCTCAACTTGATTCCTGTCATATGATCAGATAGTAGTTTGTTTTTCTAACTTTTTATACTTGCTCAATTGGCTCATGTTCTTCTATCTGCTGAATATGGGAGTGAGTGTAGGGTTTATTTCAATATTCTTATGAATAAGTATAAATACTTGGTGACCTTATTTCTGATTACTTTTCTACAAATGGTGCTATTTATGAAAAAAAACATATTCAGTATATTGTTTTATTGAGTTCATGAAATGCACTTTGCAGGAAATCTTCATTGCAGTGGTTTGTAACAAAAGTGCAAGACAGAATAGTTCTATGCACCATGAGGCGAGTAGTGGTAAAAAATGCAAACAAATCGAGGTGAGACATTTTCCTTAGCAATTTTGGTGTATGTATTCATTATGCTCTTAAATATTTTCCAAGATAATTGAATTCCATATTTTTAATAATGATTCCGAATAGTATTATATAAGGGCTCATTACCAAAAGCATAGTAAATCCAAATGTTTTCATTTGGAATGCATCAATCCATGCAGACACTCATTGGAGTACTTGGATAAAGATGAGACAGTAGTGGCTCATGTAGTTGGAGGAGTTGATGCATTCATCAAGGTCCCTCAAGGTTGGCCATTGTTAAGTTCTCCATTGAAACTGATATACCTCAAGAGCTCTGATCAACATTCAAAGGGAATTTCTTTAAGTTTTCTGTGCAAGGTTCAGGTCAGTGTACACCTTCTTATCTCTTACTAGTTTCCTTACTTCGGGGTGGATGTATCTACTTTCAAATTCTCCTCTGTTGAAAGACTCATTTGGAATGCATCAATTTGCCCATGCATTTTATATCTCGAAGTCACCTAAATCAAGTAGTTATATTTTATGTTATCTCCAATTAATTTTGTTCTAATATGCTGTCTCCTTGTCATAAGCATACATGCCGACCTTTTTGTATTAAGGTCTGGTTCCTGGATGGAAAAGTAAATAAACAACATAATTTAATCGTGGAGTTTTTTATATAGATTTTCTTGGATAGTGCAATAATTTGTTATTTTTAGCAGGGGACAACCAAAGTACAAAAGCAGTATGCGTTAAAAATGTAAGAACAATAAGAAAATACATATGCAGAAATGCTAGGGTGAAAAATTGACAGATTGTTGTTTACAATGCTGTTGACTATTTCGTGTATATTTGAGAAATTTCATCAAATTGATGGCAGTTGCAAGCATGCCTAGTGAGCTTAAAATTTGGATATTTTGGTTTCTTTTGAACCAGTTTGAGCTTATATAAAATATACAAAAATGTGAATTGTACATACAAAAAAAGCTATTAGATTTCATACAAGTTTATTATATTTTCAATAATATGAAAGAAAGGTTAAGTGTTGATGCAAACTCAGATCCTCTAAGCATGTAATTGTTCTTGCAGACATTTATGTATTGTCTCTACAATAATAGTTTCTTCGTACTATGCATTTTCTCAAATAATTGTGCATTATGTTTTCTTGCGGTCTCTTTTGGTTCCTAGTGTCATGTCTTTCTGTTACATTTATAAATTCAAAATTTCACAAAATAAGATAAAAAAATGATAAAGTCCACTGCAATGCCTGGTTCTTTTTTGCTGAACTTTTCTCTTCTTTTGGTTGCATAATTGTTGATTGTTTAGGAATTGGCAAATTCGTTGGCTGTACGAATTCGGCAGACTCTATCGAGCTTTGTGGATGCTATTGAAAAAATACTTGTAGAGCAGATGCGCTCAGAACTCCATGGTGATGCTTCTGAACAATGACTTGTATAACACTTGTGATACTAATCACACATGTAAAATAGCTTCCAGATTCCAGTGTTGTCCCGTACGTTTACAAATTAACAGACTGAAATTATTCGGAGTATTGTAACGATATTGTTGAAATGAGAAAAGGAAGGGGTTTTTAAGTAAGTCCCCAGAGCAACACGTTGTCATAAATATTTTTAAGCCCTTGACTTTTGTTGTTATTTTGTTTTAAACCCTCAATTTGCTGAGGCATTTAGCAGTAAGCCCTCAACTTGAGCCCCAAAAACTCATCAAAAAGACCCATTTAGGGTCGCATAAGAGTATTTCCTAGGTTCTTTGAGAAAAGCTTGGAAGTTTTTACTGGGGTTTTACTAATTTTCCCTGATGTCTAGACGTTTGGCCTGGACTGATATTAGTCCGACCACGTAAAGCATTGTTGGTCATGTACATCTTCTACTGTTCTGCAGTTTTATGTGTTTCTAAACCTACGTTTGAGTTTTGAGTGCAATTTTTTTAATAATGTGCAGAATCTTATTTTCAATTCCCACTTTATTGGTGCAAAGAATGGTAAATGCAACGCCGCCATGATTTCTGTTTTATATTTAAACCTGTGATTTTCCTTTTTATTAAAAACATTTGATATAAGAAAGATAAAGATTGAAGAGGCTAATTATTACAACGCCATGATTGGATAAGGGCTCCCATTTTTATTCAAAGATTGAAGAGGCTAATTATGTTTGGATGATGAGCAGATTACTACAATATCATAATTGCATGCCTCCATTGACCTTTCTCCTCACATGTAATTAGGTTAATTCCCTGCATTTTTAAGTTAAAAGATGGACGAGGAGGAGGTCATGGCTCTTTCACTCATGAAGAGGCCGGAATTATGTTTGGGTGGAGCAATTGATTAATATCTTCTTTTCCATTTAATTAAAAATAGATAATAAAGAAAAAAAAAATCGATCATTTTGTGCAACTTAACATTCAAGAACAACCATTACACATTTAGAGGAAACAACTATTGTTATATGAAAACATACGCAGAACAATGGGGTAAAGTATAGAACACCTGGATTATTGGACCTGAATAAACAACAAAACACAACAGCATTACCGACGAAAAGCATTCCGTTCACTTGCTTCAGATCTGCCCTGCAAATAATGTGTTCGGCGACGTACACTCTCCTCAATTGTTGAGCTTCCTCCCCTCTCAGCACCATAAACACTAGTTTGAACAGCATCCAAGAAGTTCCTGCCACTAGATTTGACAGCCTGTGTAGCTTCCAGTGCATCATTCTCCTCGGCCTTTTTCAATCGTTTCCATCTTTGCTCTTCATGCAACTCAGCATCTATTTGCATCTCCTTTAGCCTAGCAGCTCTTTCTTCTTCTGAAAGTTTAGGAGCAACATTTCGACGCTTGTAGTGTGATTCATTCCGACCTTTCATGGGGTACTTCTCTAGTTCTAAATTGTCATGTTTTCCCTTGGCATCACCTTGACCATCATCTCTTCCAATTTTTATGGACTGATTCTTCTCACCTCGGCATGCTCTGTTACGTGATTCATCTTCCGAATCTGAATGCTTAACAAGGTTTTTCTCACTTCGACCTGCTCTTTTACGTGATTCATCTTCTGAATCTGAATGTTTAACATGGTTCTTCTCACTTCGCTGTGCTCTGTAACGGGATTCATCTTCAGAATCTGAATGCTTAACAGGGTTCTTCCCACTTCGATGTGCTCTGTTACGTGATACATCTTCTGAACCTGATTGCTTAACATGGTTCTTCTCACTTCTCCATGCTCTGTAACGCAATTCATCTTCGGAATCTGAATGGTTAACAGGATTCTTCCCACTTCGGCGTGCTCTGTTATGTGATTCATCTTCTAAATCTGAATGTTTAACATGGTTCTTCTCACTTCTCCGTGCTCTGTAATGCGATTCATCTTCAGAATCTGAATGGTTAACAGGATTCTTACCACTTCGATGTGCTCTGTTATGTGATTCATTTTCTAAATCTGAATGTTTAACATGGTTCTTCTCACTTCTCCGTGTTCTGTAACGGAATTCATCTTCAGAATCTGAATGCTTAACAGGCTTCTTCCCACTTCGATGTGCTCTGATACGTGATTCATCTTCTGAATCTAAATGCTTGACAGTGTTCTCACGTCGACGTGCTCTTTTACATGATTCATCTTCCGAATCTGAATGCTTAACATACTTTGATATCTTACGATGACCACTCTTCCTCCTTTCCACTTCAGCAGTGTCATTTTCTGAATCTGATGCTTGCATGGATGATGAATGTTTGCTATGCTTTGAAGCACCAGTATGGTGCTTCTTCTTCTGATGTTCCTTCTTGTCATGCAGTTTCTCTGCGGGCTTCTTTGCTTCAACCTTTTATTGAAAAAAAAAATTTGATCAGCATATACACGTCAAACATTCTCTTAAACTAATCATAGACATCTACTAAAACCCTGATAAAATCAGCAAAAGACCCAAAAAAAACCTTAGTAAAAAAATGCTATTGTGGTGTAAACCGTGGGTGCAATCCATGCCACGTGAACAGAAACACAGCTACAGCTGTTTGAAGTTACTGCTAGAAGAACTCTGATTATTTACTCAAGTTAAAAACAAATCGTGAAGACTTATAGATCTACCGAGGTCATGATCCAAGGGACAAAAAGATCTTCCTCAGAATAAGAGGCTAGCTATGCTTCTGTAATTAACGAGTCTTGTCTAATCAGCAATGGCTGCATCACTTGAATAAAAACTATCCCATTACTACAATCAAGTTAATTTAATTCCATTAACACCTTTAACTTCTGCATCAGCTCCCCGTGAATGGTTGGTCCAGAAATGCTCTCTGGAGGGAGCATTTAGTTAACACTGAAAAGTTCTGGTCTTAGCTATACTCTTTTTCTTCTTCTCCCTGTTTTTTTCTTCAAACTTTCATCCTCTCTGAGCCAGTTACATCATTTTTCTTCTTGGCAGCCTGCCTTCATACACACTTCTTCTGCATCCAACTCGTTAATTTTCTCAACAAACTACTTTTTCTTCCACATATCAGACATCATGATTCCCCAATCCTGTCTTTCAGGTCCTAAAACCTATGCAGCACACCAACATGGCGCCTATGACCATATTTTTATATTTACATAATTTATTTATTTTTTATTTTATATAATTGGCAGACTTCGAAATCATCAAGTCATCTCTAACTATGCTGTCTGGCATAACTAATTTATTCTTGATTAGTGAGCAAGAGAAAAGTAAAAAAAGACAAACTTACAGATTTGCGAATCATGGCCATCTGGACAGGATTGTTCTTAATACGAGAAAGGGCTTCCTGCTCACGCTGCCGAATCATAAGCAAAGGATCCGAGTGGAGCTTCCTCCAAGCATCATTGGCAGATTGAGGCTTTTCTTCGAACAGAGCTCCTGGCACAGATGCTGATGACTGCTGCTGGAGAATCAGTAGTCACAAAGGATCATAAGAAACATGATTTTGTAGTTGCACTACATTTTATACAATATCATTGATGCACACAATTGGGAAATACAAATACCTTGGAGGCGGCAGAGGAGGAAGGCGCTTCTTCGGTCTTGGGTAAGGCTTCAAGGGTTTTGAAACTATCGGAACCACCAGGGCGCCCAACGGCCAATCCCGAATCATACAAGAACTCCAACCGCTCTTGCCTCCTGCAAATAACAATCAATTGCAGTTGATTAGGGATTAATTGACGAATTTGAAGAAAAAACAGAGACCCCAACCCTAACCCTAACCCTAAACCTAAACCCTAAGAAGAAAGAAAAAGGAATAAGATTAGAATTGGTTACGGGACGAGGCCGGCTTGCTCCTGGAGAAGGCGGAACTCAGAGCGCTCGCGCTCTTCAACGATCTGTTTGCGGAGCTCGTCCAACTTCTTCTGCTCGGCCTCGTGCTTTTGCTCTGCCTTCCACACGTTCTCTATGTTCCGAAGGCTCCCTGTGTGCCATCCCTTCTTGTTCAGAAATTTCAACGCCATTCTTCTTCTTCTTCTTTTTCTTCTGCTTCAATATTCGAATGAATGAACGAAAAGGCAGAATTTAAACGATCAATTTCAATTTCAATCGCGCAGTCTCTCTTCCTATGATTTTTATATCTTGGGAAAAATAAAAAAACAGTTTTATGCGTGGATTAATTTTTTTAAAAAAAAGATCAAATCGGATGATATTTTAGTATATGTGTATTTTTTTTAAATGAATTTGACTACAAAAGAAGTATAAATATGGGCATCATTGAAAAATCCGTATCAAATACATGGGAAAATGCATTCGTATGATTTGGAAGACTATTAAAAATAAAAAATGTATTTACTCTTACGTAAAGAAATGTGCAATAGTCTCGTATTTTATTTTATTTTTTCACCTTAAAATATATAATTTTCGTTGGATTACCCACCATAAACTATAATTTTCCCAATTCAATACCAACTCTCAAATTTCAGGTACGAAAATAATAAAAAAATACATACAATAGCTTAGAACAAAAATCATAATTTGACTAAGTGGTGAAATTAAATTAATTTGATATGAAATATATTGCTAGAAGTACCTTAAAATATATTTATTATTACTAGAATAACCCACCAACTTATTGTGAACTTGTAGGTAAATATAGCAAATCTCCTATATATATATATATATATATAGCAAATCCCCTCCCTACCGTCAAACTCAAATTCACTCAAATTCTATTAATAAGAAGGGTCACACACTTTGCATTTCTAAAAACCAAAAGAGAATCTTAGAAACATATTGGGGGTGAATGATAGAAATCGGATATGGGCAATATATACCCAAACAGAGATGCCTTCTCCTTTCTCAACATGGACGCCCAGATTTTTGCATTATTCATGTTCGCCACCCATAACACCAGTACATGGTAGTTTTGTGTTCAATAATTCAAGCTTAGTTAATTAGATCAACTTCTTGATTACTTACGCGTGACATCCAACTACCAACTATCATATGTATGAATTTATGTATTTTTACATTCTTCAACATATACTAACGATGTTAAAATAGGAAGATAGTAAAACAATAAATATAAAGACATCACGGGTTTCATATTAGGACTAATAATACAACACAAGGTCATTATTATGGCATCAAAATAATCAAGAGGAAGTTGTCTTGAGGTGTCTCGCCAAGAGGCATTCAAAAATAGAAATATTTGAAAATAAGGACATGCTAAAGATACAAAAACGAACAGTTGGGGCACCCAGCTTATAATCTCTTCCTAGAGGAAAATGACTCACTTAATGATCTGCAAGATAAAAACAAATGAGGCGTGAGCTAACAGCCTACTCATATACTCAGTTATATCAGTCATGTAAGATCACATACCAGCTTAACAAAAAAAAACACTCTCACATTGTTACAATAAACTCGTGGCATTAGATTCAAAGTAAGTTTTCAACATCGTAGTAAAGCCACTCACCTGAAGTAAGTTTTCAACATCAACACCTAAGAGAGTACACAAAACGTAATTAACTTAGAATTCTTCTACGATTGAAACACACTAAATGGTAAACAACAATAGAACGCGTAAAAATATTAAAAATAAAAACTCATTACCAATTTTGTGCTGAAAGGGAGGCTAATACTAATAATAAAAAATAAAATAAAATAAAGTGATGCGAACTCACATTGAAATGCAGAGAGAGGTTATATCTTTGTTCTCGTTCTGGGTCGAACTTCATCACCTAATTCATTTTCATCAATATGTTTGCCATCATCATCACCATCCATTGACATACTGACAGGAGCCAGGTGGGCCCCAATGCTTTTGATGCGCAACCCTTGGCCCGAAACTTTAACTCGAAAAGTAGGCGTCTTTAATTGTTCATAATAAGAAATTCGAAAACATTCCAGCCACACATTACCTGCCCCTATCTCTCCTCTAGACACATCCACCGTATCTAGATAATCATACAATTCAAATCTAAGAGAACAAGGGTTAACAAATGATTCTGTAATTTCCCAAACAGCACACAAAACCAATTTTGTGTTCTCCAATATGGAAGTCCAAGGAATTTCAATAGGAAGTTTGTAATTACGAACAGTCCTGCCATAATCATCAATGTAATCAAATTTACTCTCATCATAGTCATCAAAGTAATTACGAAAAGTGAACCACTCTGGAACTTCACTGCCACTGACAGGTAGTTTAAAGAGAATCCCCTCATGCCTCCTCTGTAACACAACACAACACAGGCATATATATTATTATTAATTAGTCGTGCGTGCAGGTGCAGCGTACATAGTATAGTATTAACAATATATGTAATGTATGCATATTAATTATATAGAAAAAAGATAAATACGTCACCAGATTATTCAGTACAATTTTTGCCATCTTTGAAACGTCCAACCCTGGCATACGGCATAGCCTATGGCAATTAGACAAGTCCATGTAACTAATGCCTTGCATGTCTCCGTCTTCCAATATCTTTGACAATGTTGAAAATCTTTCTAGTGATATGCAATCACTCACGCAAACCCATTGTATAGACTCTGGAAGTTGTACTAGAATTTCTACAAGCCTCTTGCAACCCCTCAAATCAAGCATCCGCAAGTTGACAAATTTGCTAAAGCACACAGGTAGATTGACAAAATTGCTGTAGCATAGAAACATTGTCGTTATGTGGGAACAACAACAAAAATTCTCCAAGGAATCAATGTCTGATAGATTGCACTCTCTAAAATCCAAAGTCGACAACCAAAGTCGACCCTCCAAAGGAAGTGATTCTGCACTTGATAAAACTCCAGAGATCAAGTTATTTGGAAGTGTGACAAGTTTTGGGCATAGACTGAGATAAATAGAATTGAGATTTTGCAACCCATAAATACTTTGTGGCAGATTTGCAAGGTTTTCACATCCTTCTAAATCTAAGCGTTCAAGCGCAGTGAGATTTCCAATTGATGAAGGCAACTCTTCTATAGCAGTTCCACCTAACGATAACTCTTTCAGGGTAGTGAGATTTCCAACGAATGAAGGCAACTCTTTTATAGCACTTCCTCTTAAGCCCAATCTTTTCAGCCCAATCAGATGTCCAATTGATGCAGGCAACTCTTTTATAGGAGTTCTCCAAAGGTCCAATTCATTTAAGGATTCCATTTTGTCCACAATTTCTGGGAAACTCTCCAACTTTATGCAAGAAATAAGAAAAAATCTTCTCAGAGATTTCAACCCAACCTTATTTGGAAACTTGCTGAGTTTAAGGCAGAAACAAAAGTCCAGTTCTTCAAGTTTATCAAGATATCCAACAGATGGATGAACCTCAACTAAACTTGTACAACGTTTCGCATTCAAGTACCTTAAGTTTGGGCAGCCGGATAGGTCGGGGATTTCAATTAGGAATTGAGATCCCTCGAAATTCAGAGATGTCAACTTTGTCAAATGCTGTGAAATGAAAAATAATAAAAATAAAATGGATAGCATTAAAGAAATTTACAACATACATCAGTTAATAAACGAGACCTCTTAAAAATAGTAAGGGATGAGAGAGAGTTCACCTTCAATCCCTCCCCTAGTTGTTTGATGCGACTGTCAGGCAGATTGAGCACTACTAGTCCCTCTGGACGAAAGTTGGCTGGAAAGGATTGGAACGGACATCCATGCCATTCAAGCACTCTCAAATTGTTTGGGATAGAACTGGGGTCTCCAAAAAGGTATACATTGTAGTTTATGAGAATTTTAAGATTTTTCATCTTCGAGAAGCTTCTGCCAACATTCAAGAATATCTCATCATCTTGTTTGGGGAAATTTAACACGATACCTGTGATTTTATTTGTTCCCTAATAGAAAAAAGAAAAATGTACTAGGTGTTAAAAGGTATTTATAATTTTAAAAAATTATTATACTTAACACACAACATGTGTTAGTTATTGAATTAAATAATACATTACACTCACATATATAATTTAATTTACTTACTGTGTTATTAGTCAGGACATGCTTGACATCTTCATGAAACCACAATCTGCTACGTTTTCCGAGTTCAGTGGGCGACTCCTGCTCAATTATGTCCTTACCCATCTTTTCTAGTAAGTCATGCATCTGAATATAATCTCCATGTTCAACACTTATGAGGGCCTTTTCTATGAGTACTTCAATGCCATATCTAGTGTTTAGCTCACAAGCTTCTGTCACATAGTTTCTACTTTTACCCTTAAAGAAACATGCGATGTCAAGGAAAACCTGTTGTACGCTATGATCCAATGCATTGTAACTTATTTTGAGAACATCTTGAATTTTCTTGCTTTTGAAACCATCCAATGCAGCTTCCCATTTATCAATACTTCCACCATATAGACAAGAACCAAGAACTTTCAAAGCCAAAGGAAGGCCTTGAGCATAGCGTATTGCACGTTCTGTAAGTTTCACATAATCACCAAAAGGAGGCCCACTTCTTTTGAAGGCATACCAACTAAAGAGCTCAAGAGCTTTATCATCATCTAAAATCTTGACCTCGTGTATTAAATTAACATCATGAGCAGTTAACATTTGCTTATCCCTTGTTGTTATGATAATTCTACTGCCTGCACCAAACCAATCACATGCCCCAACTAATTCGTGTAACTGTTCCATGTCATCCACGTCATCAAGAACCAAGAGAACCTTTCTACGCCTCAACCATTCCTTTATCATAGTGACTCCTTTATCAACATTGGTCACCTTCAATTTTTTTCCCCTTAGAATCTCAAAAAGAAGAGTCTTTTGCAGTTTGGCTAAACCTTCATGCGACGTTGACCTTTCTCTAACGTTTGCCAAAAAGGAACAACCTTCAAATTTGTGGGCAATTGAATTATAAACAGCTTTAGCAATTGTGGTCTTACCAATTCCACCAGTTCCCCATACCCCTACCATACGTACATCGTTTTCCCCCAAATCTATTAGCTTATTCATAAATTGTACTTGAGCTTGCATTCCAACTGGATGCTTTGCCACTTCCAAACACACAAGGTTTAATACGTGTTTTGAAATCTCTTCAATGATGTTTTGGATAAACTTAGATTCAGATTGATGCCTGCCAATTGAAAAGAATATGAAGCATTTAGTGACATGGCATTTCTATATAAAATAAAAAATAAAAAATAAGAGAATTTTGAGCAACGATGAATAAATTAACTGATTCCAATTAAAGTTTGTCAAGAATTGGAATCAAAACTAGTTTTATTTTTAAAATACACGATCTTATATTTATCAAATATTTAGTAGTATAATTTTTGAAACGGAGAAAAATAATTTATTATAAGTAGGAGGATTGAAACTTCATACTTCTTGTCCCTAGTTTAGATAGAGACAGAGATAGAAAGTTAACATTTTTTTTAAAAAAATTACACCCCCTAGTATTAATTTTGTCAACCTTGACATCCAGTGGCGGATCCACATAGGGGCAAGGGGGGTCAATTGACCCCCGCAAGCCCGGAATCCTCCATAGGAGCTAAAGAACTTGACCCCTGCAAATGCCCAAAATGTGTTTGATGAAATGCCCAAAAGAGAGGAGCAGCCATAGCCAGGAGCTGCGCAGCGCGCGCAAGGCCAGAACTTTTTTTTTTTTTTTTGGTTCCTGACGTCAAAACGACGTCGTTCCACTTAAGTGAGTTTTTTTTAATTTATAAAACCTGGCCAAAACTACGTCGTTTTGGCTCAGGTTAGAGAAAAAAAAAACGCACAGCAGCACAGCAGCTCGATAGAATAGATTGGGAATGAGTTTTTTTACTCATTCCTCTCATATTCAAACCCTAAATCTCCAACCCCAACCCCTAATTCTACTCAACTTTCACTCAATCTGAAGGCCTCTCCACGTGAATCATCCTCCGGCGCCGGCGTTCCCCTCATCAAGTGGTGGCAGCAAACCCCAAATTCAATTAGCTTTGAAATTTGCTCTCAAAATTGAAAGTATGTTATCCTATTTCATAATCTTTTTATGCTTTGATAAGATTGATTAATATGTATATGTTGATTAGTTTGAATGAATTAGAGTTTTTAATTAATTATATGTTAGTTTGTATGATTTAATTAGTTTGTATGTTTTAATATGATGGATTTTATCACTCAAATTGAAATTATGTTATCCTAATTTCTAATCTCTTTATCATGCTTTAATTAATTAATAAAGATAGTTGTACATTGTTGTTGTTGATTGTATTTGTTAGAAGTTTTTGATTATTTTGGTTAGTTAGAATAAATCTTGGCAATTTAGATTATTAATTAGTTTGTATTTTTTTGCATATAAAGTTATGGAACGATATTTTAAAAGAAAGTTCTCATCAACTACTTCTAGTTCGGATAACGTGGGTAGTTCGAACTCAAGAGATGTGGGTATTTCAAGAGATGTGGGTAGTTCAAAAGAAAGTGAGTTGCAAGATCTTATGAATAATCTTCCTGCAGACCCTGGGAGATCAATGGATGAGTGATAACTTACTTGTTTACATTGAGAAAAATGTGTTTATTTGTATTGATTGTATTTGTTAGAAGTTTTTGATTATTTTGGTTAGTTAGAATAAATCTTGGCAATTTAGATTATTAATTAGTTTGTATTTTTTTGCATTATCCCTTGTTGTTATGATAATTCTACTGCCTGCACCAAACCATTCACATGCCCCAGCTAAGTTTCGTAACTGGTCCATGTCATTCAAATCATCAAGAACCAAGAGAACCTTTCTACAACTCAACCTTTCCTGTATCACAATGGCTCCTTTATCAACATTAGTCACCTTCAAATTTTTTACCTTTAGAATGTCAGAAAGAAGATTCTCTTGTAATCCGACTGAACCTTCATGCGACGTTGACCTTTCTCTAACGTTTGCCAAAAAGGAACAACCTTCAAATTTGTGGGCAATTGAATTATAAACAGCTTTAGCAATTGTGGTCTTACCTATTCCACCAGTTCCCCATACCCCTACCATACGAACATCGTTTTCCCCCAAATCTAAAAGCTCATTCATAACTTGTACTTGAGCTTGCATTCCAACTGGATGCTCTGCCACTTTCATACACTCATGCTTTAATAATTGTTCTGAAATCTTTTCAATGATATTTTGGATAAATTTAGATTCAGATTCATGCCTGCCAATTGAAAAGAATATGAAACATTTAGTGACTTGACATGGCATTTCTATATATAAACTATAAAATAATATAGTTTAACTCTTATAAAACTGATTCCAATTAGAATAGCTTGTCAAGAATTGGAATCAAAACACCATTTAGAATAGCTTCTATTTTTCAACTACTTAGTAGTATAATTTTTGAAAAGGAGAAAATTACTTTATTAATAATAATTATAACCTTAATGTTTTGGATAAAATATTTTTCACACTATTAATTAATTATTGACATCAAAAAATTATGTTCATTGATTTCTTTTAACAAATAAATAGTAATTACTTTATTTTTTTTTTGGGATCAAAATGAAGAACTTTCTTCTACACTAAGAACCAGAGTACAGCTATACTTATTACAAACAAAACAAAATAACAAGCATTATGTAAGGGGGTTAGAAATTTACTCGTCCAAGAGAGTGAACCCTGACAAATTTGCTGCTTGTGAAAGAGCTTCCCTCCATCTGTTGACCTTCTCCATATTATCTTTATATTTACACTCCATGTTAGCCAATGCATCCCCGAAACTACCTCTATGATTCCGTACATCTGATGGAGTCACCTTGTAAAAAACTGGGATGATGACCCGTTGTTGATTCGATTCTTTGCAGTCAAGAATCTTAACAAGTTCATCCAAACACCACTTTGAAGAGGCATAGTTTTTAGAGAACACAACGACAGAAATCTTTGAGTCTTCAATTGCTGTGAGAAGCGTCCTTGATATTTCTTCTCCTCTTCTGAGCTCATCTTCATCCATGAAGGTGTTAATGCCGTGTTGACATAAACCGCTATACAAATGGCCTGTAAAAGTACAATCTTTTAAGAGCGAAATGTGCTGAAGAAGTTGGAAAATGTCTACATCTTAAGGATTTTACAGAAATGCCAACAGAAAAGTTTCTACACGGAGAGACAACAAAAAAGTTTGCAGATTGTATGACTTATTATATCGATGAGTGTGTTTAGAAACATATGAAGATTTAGTACCTTAATTATGTTGTCAAATTTGAGCTCTGGTGTATGGACAATTTTACTCTATTCTCTTTCTTTCTTGACACGAAAGTTTAAAAAAATATAAATTTGAATTCTTTCATATGCTCATGTAGTTTTTGTGATCAATTTTTGTAATCGGATTTAAGCTCTAACACCCTAATTAAGGTTCACTTAAATCTCAAGAACAGGGACAAACTCTCCCACTTTGGCTACACTTGATCTAGCCGCTGTAATTAGGATGACCAAAACTAAAGTTATAATATAATGCTCATCAAATGTTATTTTTTCTGTGTCACAGATGTCATTGCTGAGTAGACATTGAATATTTATGTGGTTTCGCAAGGGGTGTGATTTAGTGCCCTAGTAGTATTATATTGAATAGAAACAGTACTTTGTTGAACCATTAAAGCAATATTATCTTGACTTATTAATAAAATTGTCCAATGCTCTGTTTGTGCATGTCCTTATTTGTTAGGCCTGCTAACAAGTCAAGCTAGATCAGTATATTCACTTGCACTCAAATTCTATCCCCTTTCTATGCATTAAAATAATACATGAGATGAGAGTTGATGTCTCTTCCAATAGGAAAAAAGATAGTTGGATCATCACCATATATAAAGCAACGTTGGTAGCCAAAGGATACAGTTAGACTTGTGGAGTTGGTTATCTAGATTTCTGGTTGCAAAGATTAACAATATTCGAGTTCTTCTCTCATTAGCTCCAATTTTAGATTCACCTTTACAACAATTTGAAGCTTAAAATGTTTCGTGATACTTGTGAGTGTAACGCTATGATGACTAGCGTTGTATGAAATGTTGAAAAAATATTTGGAGAGAAAATTAGAGATCTGTCCCTGTGGGAGAAAAGGAGAGAATAACGTTAGCAATGGGAATTGGGAGGAAGAAAGTGCTAGAGAGGACTGAGGTGGGTTTAGTTTTGACTGTGGAAGAGAATTGAGAATAAATCACGTCATTTTCTAATAAAACAAAATAATGCCAATATAGGCATATAGATTCATTGTTCAGACATGGCACTACAAACACATGAACTGAGCCCCTGACAACCCCTCGCCTTGAACCAACCATGGTTATCTCGAAACACATACCCAAAAGCGCAAGCTAATTGAACCGAGGACAACCACCATCACACTTGGCCTTCCCCAGGCCGTTGCCAAGAAGGTAGGGGAGGTGTCTTCAACTCCAGACAGCAAGTAGAGGAAAATAAAGCATGTAGTTTTGCAGCATAGTTTAATTGGTTTTATTTGGATTGCATCCTGACTGGATTGGCAGCATAATCCCTAAAATTAGGATATCAAAATCCATCTAACATGTTCCATCAAATTAGGGAATCCAATTACATCAATTAGAAGTTTAATGGCATATGACTGCTATGTACAATTTAAATTTCATACCACGTAAAGAGATTCAGCATGAAATAATTCGCATTAGAGGAGTCAAAAGCTTATTCTGCAGATGCAACATGCCTTCTACAACGGAAACCTTTCAAAGTTTTTTGTGTCTCTAGATCAGGCATCAATCCTTTTTGGATCATTTCTTTAGCAAGCCTCAAAGCTTTACCCATTCTTTTATCTTGCACATAACCATTCACCAAGGCGTTATAGCAAGAAGCAATATCAGGCACATGACCCAGAGCCACCAAGAAATTAAAGACCTTCTTTGCCTTATCCATCCTGCCAAGCAAACAGTATTCATTAACCAACATACTGCAAGATATTGTGCCAAGCTCCATACCATACTTAATTTTTGCCTCAAATACTTTGCGAGCCTCCTCTGTCATCCTTACTTGGCAGAGAGCATCCAAAAGTGTTCTCAACACTATGGCATCAGGTAAGATCCCTCGACCTACCATTTCATCAAACAACCTTGTGGCTTCTCCCGATTGAGCTGTATGGCACATGCCATATATTAAACAGTTGTAAGTGACAACGTCAGGTTTTAGACCTCCTTCAGTCATTAGCTCTAGCACAGTGAGGGCTTCATTGGTCCTTCGGTCCTTGCAAAGATATTTCATAACAATGTTAAGGGTTACAACATCAGGATTTATGCCTTTCCCAGTCATGTCTTCGAACAGAGCAAGCGCTTCTTGAATTCTTTCTTCTTTGCAAAGAGGACTGATTAGAATACCGTAGGTATATACATCTGGTGGAATTCCACTATCAACCATGCAAATCAAGAAGCTCTTGGCTTTTTCCCACTTGCCTGATTGGCACAATCCATAAATTAGAGTATTGTAGGTGACAACATCTGGCGTGATTCCGTGATCCTTCATTTGTTCAAACAGAGAGAATACGTCTTCCCAATGATTCATGTTGCATAATTCTTTAATTAGAGAATTGTAAATGACGATATTTGGTCCAACACCTTTGTTGATCATATCTCGAATTTTCGGCTTAGACTTTCTGTGTTCCTGCATCTCCTTAAGCATCTTGAGTGCCATACAACTTTTCCCGGCTTTGCATAGCCCTTGAAGCAAAGCATTCAGGGAATAAGCATCAGGCTCAAGACCATATTTAAGGTAAGTGCTAAGACAGAGAAACCCAAGTCCACTCTGTTCAGACGGCACAAGCAATTCATGAAAATATTCATTGTAGTGACATCAGGTTGGAATTGACGACAACCCATCAACTGTTTATACATAGATACCAAGGCAGAATATTGCTTCATCTTGTAAAGTGCCCCAAACAAACATTTAAAAGTCCAATTAGAGGGATTGGGTTTCGTTTGAATCATGGAATTGAAGTAACCCAATGCTTCCTCTGACTTAAGTGTTCCAGATTTGCACCGTGTTTGAATCCGAGTCTCCATATCACTAACATTATTATCAGCATCAGAATGAAATTCACTTCTTTTCAACAGAAAGGGAGTGATAAAAGAACGATTACCTGGTCGTGGGCTTGTGGTTAGCATCCTCATCTTCATCCTTATCTTTGTCAATCTCAGTTCAATATGGCGTGGACATCTGAGCTCGTGCGAGGGACATTTTGCCGAGGCTTATCTTTGGTGAACCAACCCTAAAATTAACCGACTACATGACCCTAATACCAGCTCGCTCTTCGTGGCCTAACCATCACCATTTTAGTCACACCCAAAAGCCTCCACTATCTCAACCCCGTTCTCTCTACACACCCAACTTCAATCCAAATCCTAGTCCTCCCTTTTCCACCCGACCAGCCCTCCATTCTCAAGAATCCCAAAAACCTCCCCATTGAGCAAACTAAACGACCCCGTTTTGGAGTGGTTCAACCCTTCTCCTCCCACAGTTATCATTTCCAACTTCTTTCTTGGGCCTTGGACACAGAAATTGGCCCAACAGCTGGGGATCCGACGTCATATTGGTTTCGTTCCTGTGAATGCACACAAGGTGATTTCATGGGCCAAAATTGTTTGCAACGTGGCAGTGGCCCAGTTGACATGCCAAACATTTGCGCTCATGTAATTTCCAAGATGCGTGCATTGAGTTTGGAGAGTTGGGGACTCATTCTCAACTCATTCACCGAGTTGGAGACTCAGAAAGGCTCATGTAATTCCCAATATGCGTGCAGCGAGTTTGGAGAGTTGGGGACTCATTCTCAACTCGTTCACCGAGTTGGAGACTCAGGAGCTAGAGCTCGTCAAGAAGTTCATGAAGCATGATCGGGTTTGGGCTTTCGGGCCGCTGTTGCCAGTCCAGTCGAGCCCAATTGGAAAGAATGAAAGAGTTGGATTAACAATTGGCTCGTTCGTTCCAGCCCACGAGGTCATCAAGTGGCTCGACTCGCACCACGGGGACTTGTCGATTGTATACGTGGCATTTGGAAGTCAGATCACAATGAACAGAAGGCAAATGGAGGCTGTAGCTAGTGCGCTAGAGGAGAGTGGGGCCCTCTTCATTTGGGTCGTGAGGGCCTTAATGAAAGGAACGGATGTTGATGAAGAGGATCAGAGCATGATCCCATATGGGTTCGGAGATCGTGTGGAGAGGAGAGGCCTCGTGATCAAAGGGTGGGCCCCGCAAGATGAAATATTGAGGCATCGGGCCGTTGGATCGTATTTGGTGGATGAGCTATTGGATTACCATGCAAGCTGACCATTATGACAAGTTGACAAGTTTTTCTACAAGAATAACATCTAAATACTAACATATCAATAAAACGAACTGGAAGTAAGGAAGAAAAAACTATAAGAAATAGGCTTTCAATTTCCTTGTAAAATATAGAAAGAATTAATTAGAAGAAGATATTAGAAATGGACCGACCGGTACGGGGAGACTTGGGTTTGTAATCTATCCAAAAAACAAAGTCTTGGTAAGTCAACAGAGGGAAACAGAACTCATTGCCCCTACTTAAAAATTTCACGAACTTGCCTAGTAACCCCCACTGCTTTTTCTTACTAGCAAAAGAACCTGGCCTGGCCCTGAGGCAGGGCGAGAAGGGCTACTGCCTTGGGGCCCATCTCAAAGAGGACCTCAGAATATTTGTTTATTTTATTGTTCTTTTATAACCCCCACTGCTTTTTCTTACTAGCAAAAGAACCTGGCCTGGCCCTGAGGCAGGGCGAGAAGGGCTACTGCCTTGGGGCCATCTCAAAGAGGACCTCAGAATATTTGTTTATTTTATTGTTCTTTTGAAAGCTGCATCTAAAATAGTTTCTTAATATGAGGTACAATAGTATACTAGTATATATAAGAAGCTAATATCAAGATTTCTGAAGTTCCATCTTGCATTAATGGTTTTTTTTAAAATTTTATATAAACCACATCTATGTTCAAGTCCTACTAGGGTGAAGAAATAATACTTTTTTTTTTTAATGATGATTGATGAGTTGATGTTCTGGTTATAATGTATCAAATGGACTATCTTTGGGAAAAAAATAACGACTATAAATGACTTTAGAAGGAGTAATTTGTAGTTGATATAATTAACATATAATGTTCTACCCCTCTTTCTTCCTTTGGTGCATTCTACTACTTAAAATGTCATATTTTTCTTCCAATCTCTTTCATTTTTTTTTTCTTTTGTTCAATCATTGCTTTATATATAAATTTTTTAAACATTTCCACAAGTAAAATGAAATTTGTTTTAAGGCCTAATTTTTGTTACCAGTTGTAAAAGGTCTACATAAAGAACCCTTTCAATTCAGTTTCTGCCTCACAGATCATCCTTATTTCTAGAAGGTTCTTCTTCTCTTCTAATCTCTCTTCATCTTACAATATTTATCTTGTATGGATTCAAATGAAGGTCATGTTTGAATCCATACAAGATACACATACACGTGGATTCAAATGAAGGTCACGTTTGGATGAGACACTGATCAATTCAGGGGAGGTTAGCCATCCAACGAGATCAAAAAATTAAATTACTTGAATGGTTAAGCCTTTTACTAATTATTTGCAGGTTCTTTATTTTTCGATTTTTCAGAACTCGTTTAGAAAATTGAGGAATCCATTCAAATTATCCTATCCAAGATATAAAAAGGCCCAAGTCATGGCCACACGGCACCCTAAAAATGAAGATTCGATCATTGTCGTAAGGTTTGTTTCTTTTATATCGATATCATTTTAAAAGGATTTAACTGTACATTTCAAATCACAGTATTATCCTATTTGTGTGAAAAGTTAGCAGTTATGTTTATTTGTAATTGTCACGTGTATTTTTGCAGTTTTAACATCTCTAGAGTTTCATAATTTCGCCATTTAAAGGATTGTGCATTTTATGATTATATAGTTAGTTTTTACAAACAGTGTAATAATAAAATCATTATTTTTCTCTATTCTTTATTTTATTTCTCTTTCTGTACACTAATTGGGGTGCCTAGTGAGTATCATAACATTTTACAAGTATATATATATATATATATTACATTTCATTTTGATTTTGGGTTAGATACTTTAATTTCTACGTTAAGTCGTGTTACTTCTTTTAATTTTCTGATTGCATTTTTCTTTTAATCAGCACTACACCAGGTATAGCTTTCAATACGGAAAATGCTAAGGGGCAAGCACGACATCCCACATCCAAAAGTGGAGGACTTAGACCAGAGAAAAAATGGGAAACAAAACTTCTTTCAGCTTCACTGTGGAATAAGATAATTGTAATTTCATGTGTTATTGCAGTTTCTCTAGATCCCTTGTTCTTTTACATTCCATTCATCGATAAGGAAAAGAAATGTCTTGGAATGGACAAAAGTCACCAAAACAGGCAGAAGTCGAAGCCCAGTGTTCTACCTTTCCAGACTTGGTAGCTTTTCTCTGTTTTAATTTTTGTTCAGTAGTCAGTTTGTGTTTATTATTCCAGTCGAAGCCCAGTGTTCTACATTTCATAGTTCTCTATAAATATGAGAGGAGGTGAACAGATTGAAAGACAACCAAAAAATCAATCAAGACAAAATTCTCAGATTACATTGACAAATTCGAAAGAACAAAGTCATCCAAATCTCAAAAGCCTTCAGATTCTGAAGCAATCAAATCAAACAGTCAGAACTTGGTTCATTCCAATTCAAGAGAAACATCTTCACAAAAGAAACAAGACCTTTCTTGTTACAAATTTGGTTCAGCATATGTTAAGTCAAGCAGAATTCGAGTTTTTCATAATATGAAAACCTCAACAAATTTACAGGAAGTTTCAAGGTGTTCAGAATTGCCAGAATAGCTTTTGCTTAAGTCATGATCAAGCAAAACAAGTACTGTGATGCAGCTCCAGGCCAACAATCATTAATCCAGCCATCTTCCGCTCAACTCAGGATGAAGTAATACCATTTCTGCCCAACCAGCTAGCCTCTCCATGCCCAGAATAGATTAAAGCTATGCCAATCTTAACATTGGTATCGATTGCCAACTAAAGCTCATCGGTTGAAGATACTAACGTGCAATCCTAGTATAAATGAATCTAGTCCAGCCCGGTTCACCAAAACAGACAGAAGTCGAAGCCCAGTGTTCTACCTTTCCAGACTTGGTAGCTTTTCTCTGTTTTAATTTTTGTTCAGTAGTCAGTTTGTGTTTATTATTTCAAACAGTTTGAACTCATTTTCAACTTTTATTTTGGCCAAGAACTGCCAGTTTTTGTACTGTGAAAAATTGTGAAGTCCTCACCAGTTTGAGGCAAGAAAAAGAACTTACTTGGGAGATATTCCTCACCCAAATTCACAATTGCTTATTTAGAATCAGTAACTTGGGGCACAAGTTATCTATTTTTTAGAAGTCTGCTAGGGTTCTAAACTGCTAGCAGTGACACGCTCATACATAAAAGAAAATTGACTTGTTGACCATAAATGGTTTTCAAGCCAATGGGGAACTTTACCCTACCATCACAGGATCATATAAAAAACGGGTGAACAATTTCTAACCCATTACAGTTTATTATGTCAGATTTTAGTAGTAGTGCTTTTCTTCAAAATGAAAGGGTCGGAATATTTGGAACACAGAAAGGTTTTGAACTTTTTTCTTCTCAGTCAATATTTGCTGAGGATTTTTAGAATTATCTTGTCATCCAAGAAAATTACAAAGACTGGAATACGGGTCAAAGCTGTATTCAATTTATTTTTTTGGGGTACATTCTTGCGAGCCATGTAAGTTTTACTTTTTTCATTTTAATATTTATTTTGGTAATAAAATGCTTGATGAACTTGAACTTCATTTACAATAAAAGTGACCATATGGTGCTGGCTTAATTGATGTGGTAATATATATAAGTAGAGTGAGTGTAGATGTCAATGCACTTCCAAAATTCAATTATTGAGCACTAGCTAGTTCCATCTTTATCAACAACTGTTACCACATAATTAGATAATTGTTTTAATTTTCTGAATGCAATTAAGCTGAAAATTCACATCTCCCCACAAGAGTTTCGTTATTTTAATTTTAATTTTTTTTTCCAAATACATCTCTTCCCATTATAAACATCTTCTTCCCAGAGAGTTTTCCTTAATGTATCGTAGTGTTTGTTATAATGCTTATGTACTGGTTTGACTTTTAGGTACTTTGGGCCTTTTGGTACTTCTTTTCCATTCAACGAGAGACATTATGTTGGCACCGGGCTTGTAAAAGAAATACTACAGATTATATGATCAATTTAGGTTTTAGTTTTGACTTTGGAAATTTTGGGTTTTGGGTTTTGATTTATTCGTTATTTGATCAATTTTTATATATAGTTTTTAAAAAAATCTGAAATATATGTGTTTTTCTATGTATGTGTGTGTGCTACGGCTATTGCTTTCATTGTATTATCTTGTATTAGTCTGTTTGCCATGTTGGCTGATTGATTTTTGGATACAAAAGCAGAATTCAAGCTAGGGAATATATTTTTAGGGTTTAGGTGGTTTAAGTTTGTGAATTGTGTTTTTGACATGGTGGATATTTTCTTGTGGGGAAAAAGAGAAGGGGCCAAATCTTCTAGGGAATATACTTAAAAAAAAAAAAAAAAAAAACAATTTGAATGCATTCTGATGAATTTTTCTTCTCATGTTCAAGAACAAAAACGATGCAAAGATTTTTTTAAGTTCTTGGCAAAAAAGATAAAATAGTGCAAGTGATATTTCTTTAATTGTTAAGACCAATGTTTGAGACCCCTTTTTATTTTTCCTCAGTAACTAGATAACATCAGGGAAAATTTGTTTGTGAACTCAGAACTGGTTATCTCAAATTAAAATGTCTTTCTGAATGTTCAGGTTTTTGTTTGAAAACTGATAAATCAGCTTGTTAGCATGAGCATAGAAGGATCTAGTGAATTTCAACGGTGGAATGTGAGAGATGTTGCAATGGGAAGGATAATAGATTTGGACCTTAATTATCCACCTCCTAATTTTGTGGATGATGAAGTTGTTATAATCTCACCAAGGAAATTTGCGGAAGTATGATATTTATCTTTACTATTGAATGTTATATGAAAAATGCTTAAAGTTGATTTTAATTTTCTGGTGCCAACTCGTTTTAGGCCACGAATAATTCACGACGAAATCCTTCTCGGAGAAGCCGTAGAGTCATAGAAGGTCTTTCTGAAGGTGCAGAATTCTATAGCAGGCTTTCAGGTTTATTAATGTTTTCCCTTCTGCATGTACTTCTTACATGATCCAAGCATCAAATTCGGACAGTTG